CCAATTTTTTTTTTTTTTAATCATTATTATTTTTTTCCCGAACGAGCAACGTTGTGAACCTTGCCGAGCTCTGATCCGAATGAGTGCAGCGGTTTTCTTTTTGTAGGAAAAGAAGACAGAAGAGTTCTTCTCTGTGGTGGCTCCAGACTAGAGGAAGTCTCTAGTGAGTTTCCACTTCACGTAGTTCCCAGTCCGTCGCCGCCGGCCCCTGCCCCATCCCCGCTAAGAGCCCCTCTTGTCTTTTGTGTCCCAGCAGGTACAGCAGGTTCAGGTGTTTGCCGACGTGCAGTGTACAGTGAATCTGGTAGGAGATCCCTACCTGAACCCGCCGGCTCCCCTGGGCGCCCCGAAAGCCGCCGCGGTGCCGCCGACCCCGCAGGGCCAACAGAAGAGCCTTCTTCAGCAGCTACTGACTGAATAAACCGCTTTTCGAGGAATGTGACACACACAAAAAAAAAAAAAAGAAAAAAAAAAAAAGAAAGAGGAAAAATCAGCTTGGCTCATCCCGGGAAAGGGGCGGCCATAAGGCAGCGGCACGGGGCAGACTGGAGGCGAGCGAGGTCCGGAGCTGCTTTACAAAATGAGGAGCGGTGGTGTGTGTGTGTGTGAGCACAAGGAGCCCCGCGGGGCGCTCCGAAACGAGGAGACTCATCAGCGGCGGGAGTGCAAAGCACGGAGCCCACGGGCATCGGCGCTCAGACTGGCAGGCACGGACGGACAGACAGACGGACAGACGTCGCCCCGCTGCCTCCCCGCTCCCTCCGGACATTCCCTTCCAAATCGCCTTCCATCCCCGGGATGGATCGTTCAGACTGAAGATCTGAGCCTAGGAAAGAACTCCTCCCGCTGCTGTCTCCTCTTGGGCTGCTCTTGGAGACGGATGGGGCTGAGCACCTCCTGTGCTCAGTTATTTCCCGGCTTGGCTGCAGAGCTTCTGCTCAGTGAGCAGCTCTCCGAGGTCCCCAAGCACCAATGCACCATAGAATCCCCAAACTGGAAGGGACTCTTACAGGCCATCTGTCCCATTTCCTGCACTGAAAAGGCACACCCACAGCTCCACCAGTGCTCAGAGCCCATCCAGCCTGACCTTGGCTGTCTGCAGGGTCAGGACACCCAGTCTTTCAGGGTGACCAGCAGGATCAGACCTAGCCCTGCAAACTGAAACAGTCCTGGCTAACAGCTCGCCCAGTGCCAAGCATGCCGACATGGCATGGCTGGAGAACGTTCAAGTTTTATTGGCAGCACAGCAAACTCCTCTCTCTGTACCTGAGATGTGCTTAGCAGTTTCTTACTGACCTGCGCCCCATCTGCTTCTGTTTTCAAAAGGTCAGTGGAGGAAAGCTGGTTGCAGTAAAGGCCCGTGGGTCTCAGCGCCGGGTCGTTTACCTGTCAAAAGCAATAACAAAGCTCAGAGTGGGCTCTGGATGTCCCCAAGGCACTCATTACCCTCTTAAGCTGAGCTGGGTGGGTCCAGGAAACTCAGAGCCCAGGTGGGTTTGGGGAGGGGGAGCCCATGGGGCAGCACCAGCATCCTCTCATTCTGAGGCTGGGATGCAGTTTGTCTTTCTCTCAACCTCCTGCACTTTGCCTTGGGCTGCTGCCAGGGACACGTGGTCTCCAGGGAGCGTGGCGTGTCACCAAACGCATTTGACATGAGGGGGAAAAAGCTGCTGGGGAAGCTGCAAGCCCCAGCCTGCAGCACTCCCACACAAACCCAATGAGCCAAGAGCAGCTCCAAGGAGCTTAATGGCACTGAGACAAACCCCAGCAGCTAAAATTTCAGGAGGGGCAGAGCCTCAAACAGCCACAGTGCTCGGCCATGGCTGGTGGCAGTGTCCTGGGCACAGTCAGCCAAGTGCAGGTTTCCACGCCCTCAGTTTGGATACAGCTACCAGGAGATAAGCAAACCCATCCCTAACACCTTGTCAAAGCAGCTCTGGAGATGCTGGGATGCTTTGCCTTCCCCTAAGGACACAGAGGCTGCAGCCTCCCCCAAGTCTAACACAGCTCAGAGCAGTGTCAATGCAGCAGGGACATCTGCTGCCCTTCTTGGGAAGGGCTGGGGAAGGGGAACCCTGAAATGCATTGTGGCAAATCCCCAGCACTAAACCCACAGCCAGGGGAAGGTTGAGATATGCACTGCTTGTAAATGAAGAAATCACAGAAACAAATGAATCTAACAAAGGTGGGGAGACCCGTTAGGAAAGCAACCCTCCAGAAAGCTGGGGAGGGCTGTCAGCAGTGGCACTGACCTGTTCTGAGCACATGGAGTTCATCCCAGGCATCTGCAGCGAGTTCATCTGCATCTGTCCTGCCATGGGATTCATGTTCTGGACGTTGGTGTTTCCTCCTGCCATGGAGACCGTGATGCTCATGTTGTTGTACATTCCCTGCTGGGCCGGTGCTGGCTGGGTCTGCCCCGTTTGGCTGAATACGCTGATGGAGAGGGGAGAAAAGGGTTAACCAAGTGCTGGTGGGAGGATGCTCTCTGCCTGCCTGTTCTGGAAGGGATGAAGCATGTGGAGCCATCAGAGGAGCTTTAGCCACCGAGGAAGCCCTCGAAGGCCAGTGACTACTGTAGGAACATCTGCTCTCTGCCCCTCAGTGTGACGTGATGGGGCAGGAGGGACAACAGGGACGAGAGAGGACCATCAAAGAAGTGATGCAAAGCCCTGGGTGAGGTGACACCAAGCTCTGCTTGACCAGGGAAGGTCAGCTGAGCTATCAGCAGGCACAAAGCAACACAGCCTTTTTAATTTTAGCTTTTTAATTGTTCATTTCTGGAGATCTGAAGCTCCAACCTGACTTGCACAAAACCAGTCTGATGGCTCTTCCCATTCGCTTCCAAAGTCTATCAGCTTTCACAAGACATAATGAAGCCACCTCACTCCAAGAGCTCCTCACTGATTTAAACCACTGTGCTGGGTCCTTCTGGCCATCCCAAGACAAGGTGAGCATGAAGCTATGGGTCGGTGGTTGACTTGCACATGGAGTGAGGACACTGGATGTAGGTTCAGCCAGGCTGGGACTGTCTCCTTGGTGTCACCATGTCTGCTCTTGGTGTCCTGTCTGTTCTTCCCACGTCTCACCTCCCCACCCAGGCTACCCCAGCCCAGGTCAGTAGGGCAGGGGCTCCTTTACTGTCCCTTCCAGCCCGACCCACCCAATGACACCACGATGACCTTACCTGCTGTTCCCCATGGCTCCCTGCTGCCAGGTCTTCATGTCGGGTGACTGATAGCCCGGTGCAGGCGGTGCTGGCTGCAGCATTGGGCTTTGTGATGGAGGGAGCTGTGGTGACATCAGGGGACTGCTGGGGCTGAGCGAGGGGGCGAAGGCGGGCTCATTCTGCTGACCCATGCCTGGGGAAGGAAGGACAGACAGCATCAGCTGTGTGATCCATTAGCAGCCTCCCCTCTTCCTCCTCATCCTGCAACTGCTGCCATCAAACCCGTGACTTTTGCCCTTGGAATCTCTGGTTTTCATTTCAAGCAGCTCTATCACTCAAATTCAACTAACTCATAGATGAATGATTGGGGAAACCGGCCCACCACGTGGTTTCCACCAGCAGGTGCTCCAATTTCGTACCACACCTTGTGTGGAAAATAGCCAAGGTAATGCCAAGACAATGGCAAAAGTGCTTCCTGCAGGGCTCTGCTCATCGGTTACGTGTGCCATGCTGAGACCCCACACTGCTGCTGAATGGGAGCAGCTTCAAGCACCCGATATCATCCTTGCACCACTCTGCACAGGCTCTTCAGTGTCATCAGAGCTCTGTGCCCAGGCAAGAAGCATGAGCTGACTGCAGCTCATTTCAGACATCTCAGCGACAATAAGGACTTTTCCGGAGCATATAAAGTTAAGGAAGCACAATTTAGAGAACTGCTTTGCAGTTTCCTTTTTGCAGAAAGAATGAACAAAGAAATGAATCATTGGCCAAAATTATCTATTTTGAAGGGGATTCAACCAGGAAAGGTTTGCTTGGGATATACAGAGCAGTGAGATGTGGTGCGAAAGACTGGATGTTGTGTTGAGGGACATGGTTTAGTGGGAGCTATTGGGAATAGGTGAACGGTTGGACTGGATGATCTTTTAGGTCTTTTCCAACCTTGGTGATTCTGGGATTCTATGAAACGGTGGCAGTATGGCTCTGCCCTTTGCCTATCCTTCCCCACTGCTTTTACACCACTGGTGTAAACGCAAGCAAAACCCCAATGGCAGAAAAATCCATCCCATGTGCTATTTGCTAAACGTGGGTTTTCTAGGGTCACCCCTGTTCTTCTCCTATCCCCACACCCCTCCAGTTTGCCCATTCCCTTGCCAACCACCCCTACCCAGAGATGTCGGTTCCAAGAGAGGCACACAGTCCCATCCCCACCTACCTGATCCCGAATACTGAAAGATGTTCTGCTGCATCTGCGGCGTCATCCCGGCACCGAACTGCCCTCCGACGCTGCCCATCATCCCCCTGGTCACCATGCCACCACGGTTGGCCAACGCAGCCTCAGGGCTGGACGCCAGCTGCGAGAAGGGGCTGGTGGAGGTGGGAGGGTTCCCGGGGCTCGTACCGTAGTTGGGGGGATAAGGGAATTGCTGTGGGGGAGCCTGGGGGAGGCGGGCGGCCCCCATTTGCACCGGGAGCCCGGCTGAGGGTGGGAGGTTGTTGCCAAAGCTCTGCTGTCTCATGAGGATGGCTCGCTGCTGCATGAGCTGCCGCTGCCGGTGCTGCTGGCTGTAGAGCTCGCGTTGACGCTGGGCCAGCATCTGGGCGTTGAGGGGAGGCTGTGGGGAAGGAAGACGTTAAAAGAGTTAACTCCTCTTTGCATCTCAGTGTACAGCTCAGAGCCCCGGAAGCCACAAGCCGTGGCCCTCTTTGGGGCAACAGGCCTCGATTTGTGAAGGGAAGCTGGGAGGAAAAAAGGGAACGCAGCACCAAGGAGCGACTGGGGAAATGCTGTAGATTGGATATCTGTGCAAATCAGGGGTTGAGGATCTCAAAGGATCGGCCCCTATCCAGGCTGTGTCCCCCAGCCAAATGGGAAAGCCTGGATGATTGCCCTGCTACCAGGTATGATCGCCTAGTTATGGGATCATTGCTTCTAGTGGATGCAGCAAAAGCCTCCTCTTGTGCCCTTCACAGAATCATAGAATGGCCTAGGTTGAAGAGGACCACAATGCTCATCTAATTTCAACCCCCTGCTATGTGCAGGGTCGCCAGCCACCAGACCAGGCTGCCCAGAGCCACATCCAGCCTGGCCTTGAATGCCTGCAGTGATGGAGCATCCACAACCTGGGCAACCCGCTCCTGTGCCCTTCAGGGAAGGCTCCCAGTGAGGAGTGCCCAACACCAGGATCTCCGACGTGGACCCTGTAAAATCACCCCATGACATTTCCCCTGGCACTGGGCTCCTTCCCTAGCTGCTGGGCCAGATGTGCTCCCATCCATCACC